AGAACGGCGCGCCGGACCGGCCGGACCCCGGGAGGGAGACGGGCGACCCGGGGGTCTGCGACGCGGGGCCTCCCCGGTCCCCGGGGAGCTGTCCGCTTTGTGCCCCCTCCGCGGCCCGGAGCCAGGGGCAGGCTGGTGTCAGGAGAGCGGAGGCCATGGTGCCGGCTGTCCGCGCAGGGATGCGCGCCGCCGGAGACTCGCACCGGAGGCCCAGGCAATCGCGGCCCAGCCCTCCCATGACTCTGGGCAATGTTGCCGTTCTCGGTTGGAAAGGGGCAGGAGGGGCGGCGGTGCTGTGTCATCGCCGGCGGCCGCGCGGGCCGTGCGCGACCTCCCCCGCCGGGCTGCTCTCGGGCTTCTCGCCAGCCAGTTCGGCCGGCCGGGGGGCGGGGGCGGCAAGCGAAAGCGGCACGCATCTGCTTTTCTGGTGCGATGAGCCCCGGCCCCCCTTCCGCCCAGGCTCGCGCCTCGCGAAGGTCTCCTGCCAACTTGGCCATTGATTTCAGAGCGAGAGCGAACGAGGGAATGCTCGCCCAGGTAGTCGTTGACGTGAGATGGCGATCTGGGCTCGGCCTCAGTTGCCGGGCCTCTCCAAGGGTGCCGGGGTGGCTCAGCTGGGCCTCTCCCCGCGGCAAGGGTCCCTGTGAAACAGGGCTCCGGGTGCCGGTTGCGTGGTCTCTCGCCCTCTCAAACTCCAGCGGGGCGGGGGGACGGGGGGGTTCGCATCTTGTTGGTGTCTTTTTCGCCGGGTGCCTTGCCTCGGAGAAAAGCCCGGAGGGCGGGCGGGTCATTCTGAGTGTCCCGCCAATCTGCGCGGGCGTCGGGGGCGCCCATATAGGCCGGTCGGGGCGGGGGGGGGGGGGGGGGGGGGCAGGTAGGTGTTCTGCTCGCTTGAGCGCAAGGTTGCACCCCATGGCTGGCAGGCGTCCCGATCTCCCCGGTCAGCCGCGCTCTCCCTCCCGCGCGAATTGTTCGAGCGGGCGGCGCAGGCCAGGCCCCCTCCCCCCGGGGGGGGCGGGAGGGCGGGTCGTGCTTGTCGACGGCTGAGAATGCCCCTCCCTCCGGCAAGGGGGATGGGGCGTCCGGACGGGGACACCCTGGCCAGGTATGCGCCCGCCGCGCCATGAGCCGGGGCCACTTCGCCGGGGGAAGGGGAGAAGAGCTTGAAACAGGCCTCTCGCACACCCAACCTCCTTCACGCGGAGAGACGTGACTGATGTGCGCCGGTGTGTGTGTGTGTGTGTGTGTCTGTGTCCGCGTTTTTCGAGAGGTGCCACGGCGGCCTGTGGCGGGGGG